TGGGGGATGGACACTGCCCCCGGCTCCGCCCAGAGCCGCGGATCCAGATGCGGAGAGAAGGAGCCTTTGTCCTGGGCTCCGTCCGGAGCTGAGGGTCCACACTGGGAGGGGGGGCCCTGCCCCGGCGTCCCATCAGAGTTTGCAGCTCCAGATGGGGACAGGGGGGAGCTGCCCTGGGCTCCAGGCCCCATTCGCCCCCCCGCCGTCCCCTCCATTCCCATCCCACCCACGCTCCGGGACCGCCAAATCCTCCTCGCCCCCTTTGTGAGATGCTGGAAGTGGCCTGGCTGGGAAACCCCCCCCATACCAGCAGCTCTTGGGTGCTTGCTTCGGCTTAATCACACCAAATAGCCGTGCTGGGATCCAGCCATTCCCACCTACCCGCAGTGTCTCTCATGCCATTCCCAAACTCAGACATGACAGGCCTGATCCTGCTAACAGACCCCCCCCTCCGGCCCCCCCCAGCAGATGATTCAGGCCCACAGCAATCCCAGAGCAGCGGGAAGGTCAAGGAGGGGAAAACACCAAACAGGAGAGATCTTTGCGATGGGGAGAGGGAAATTCAGGACTGCCAGGCAGCTCCACTGATGGTACCCATCATCCCCGATGATGGAGGGCCCATCGAGAAAAGGGTCCCGCAGTGCCGAGCATTGCACAGAACCACAACAGAGGCGTGGAAAAAAGGGAAAAAGCCCAGCCCATGGATGCAGGGGGAATGGCCTGTCTCGTGCCCAGTGGAGCATCCTTTGGAGCAGACTTCAGCCCTGCTTTGGGCTTTGTTTCCACCCCTGGATCCCATGTGGCGCCGGCTGTGAGGGATTTACATGAAAGGCACTGGCGAGGGGAGGGGCGTGCATGCAGACAGAGCCACAGGGGAAGGGAGCTGAAGGGAGGAGAAAGCCACTTAAATTGACCTCTTTGGGCTAATTTCAGAGGCTAGTCACTGGATCCCTGCATGGGATCTGTGCTGGGGGTAGGTAGTCGGAGCTCAGCACCTCCGGGGACACTGAATCACTCGGCACGGCCAGCCTGCCCTCACCCCCTCACGTGGGGTACTTCCCGTGCCTCCAGTTTTACAAAACTTTCCCACTTTTTCCTTAATATAAACACCCCACCCAGCACAAGGTCCCCAGGAAGGGAAACGGAGAAGGCAGGCGGAGAGGTTACCTTGCGAGGAGAGAGGTGCTGGTGGTAAATGCAGCCTATCGCAGCAAGCTTTAATCAAGGCAATTAGCGCGGTCAGTTGGTGCCAGGCGGTTGTTAGGACCCGGAGAGACGAGGCGCATGGCTGCAGTCCCCATCCTACTGCTGGGAATGTGCCACCACCTTACCGGGACCGGTCAGAGGAGGGCTGACCCCAGCTATGCGGGCACGCGCCGTAATTAGTGCTCCTGGCAGCGGAGGAGCTGCACGCACTGGCCCTGCCCAAGCACGCACTCGTGTTGTGGAGTTTCATGTGAACAGCCCCAGCACTTAGGGATTTGCTGCCTCGGCGGGCACCGTGCATCCACCCACTCAGGCAGGCAGGTCTTTGCAAGACTGCAGCCCGGCTGGCTAAACCCAGACTGGGGAAAGCACTACTAGGGCTGTGCTCGCCTTTCTCCAGCCATCCAGCCTTACGAGCCACCGTGTCGGTCCCTCCCAGCTCACCGCTGCAGCCCATCTGCCAGCCACCGTGCTCCTGGCAGGTCCAGCCAGCCAGTGCTAGGACAGACGGTTGGCCCAATAGTGCAAAAAAAAAAAACCCAACCCTTTTTATCTGACCTCACACAGTCTTTCTGCTGATACTAGAGTCTGTATTGATCCCAGACGTGAGCGCATCCTGGTACTAGGCAAAGTGAGTACCCAAAACTGCGGCCGAGGGAGGCGGGCGGGCAGGCAGGAGTCTGGTGGGGGCTTGGAGCAAGCAGGGACTTGGGGGAAGTGCAGGGTGCTGAAGGTGGCCAAGCCTCAGGTGACGATGTGGCCAAGCCGGAGGACTCCTGGGTTCTGTCCTGGGATCTGGGAATGACCCAGGTGATAAAGGTAGGACGGTCAAGGTGCCAGTGTTCATTCCCAGCTCCTGGCACACTGATTTCAGGGCAGCCATCCCATCTGTGCCTTGGTTTCCCCACGCCCTGGACAGCAGCACGGTGTGGTGAGACCCTATAGCCAGCCATGCCTGTCCCCCACTGCAACGCCACGGCCAGAGCTGAGCTGGGTCAGCCCCAGGACAGCCTGGGAAGGCGCAGCTTGCCATGCAGCCGCCTGCGTCACGTGGAGGGAAGGCTTCCCAGCCCAAACCACAAGCCAGCACAGGCTAGAAAGTGTCTGGGATCTGCCTGGGCTGACGCAGCACTGCAAGTGCTTGGGGTCCCATCTCTGACCAGCACAGCTCGGCAGCTGGAAGGGCAGAGCTGCGTGAGAGCTTGTTTTGCAACCCCAGTTTATCTCAGCAGTGGGAAAGCACGGAGAGCGTGGACCAGGCTGCCTGGGCACGTCTGGCCTGCAGCTGCAGCTCTTGCCTCTGTGCGCTGTACGGAGCCAAGCCTCGCAGGGCAACCACTTCCCCAGAAGCTGTGAACATCTTGTTCAAAGCTAAGGCTGGGTTTTACTGCTTGAGAAGCCTCGTTCCCCCAGGGCAGGAGAGGAAGAGGTGAAGGAGATGGAGAATGGGAAATTTGGGTTCCTTTTCTTTACCTGGTGCTCTGCAGCTTGCGAGAGTCCTTGAGTCTCGCCTCCTCCTCATGCTCGGCGCTGGAACTCAGTGAAAGGGGCTGTCATGTTTCCCGAAGAGCTGGGATGAGCAAGACTCGCTTCTGCCAGTGGTCATAGGAGGACAGGATGAGGTTTAACCTGTCCAATTCACAAAAACATTTTTGGCAGAACTTGAGATTCACCCAGCCTCCTGCCACCTAACTCCATCCCAGCACAGGAGACACAAGTCGGTGTTTGCATCCGGGCGGTACCACCCTGTCCCACCACCAGCTCTGGGATCAGGGCAGCTCAGGGTTATTCTCCACCCCGTGGTGTGGCTGTGAGCACCCTGACGCTGGAGGAGCCGGGCCGAAGGCGGCTGCCCCCGTGCACGCACCCCGCCGGGCATCCCCGCTGCTCCCTCCAGCCGAACCGCGCACGCCGCCCCTGCCTGCCCGCTTTGACGCAGGGATGTCCGGGTGTTTCTGTTCCAGCTCAAAGCCCAGGCGCCGGGGAGCGCGGAGGAGCTGCGGTGTCTGCAGGTTATCAATCAGCAGCAGGAGGGCTCCAGCCTGGAGGAGCTGATCAGCAACCAGTCCTGCCTCAAGCTGGCCAACACCATCAAAGCCTATGTGGCCACGGTGAGCCTGGACCCGCCAGCTTTGGGCACCGGGGGAGGATGGGACAGCCGATGGGAGAGCTCCTGTCTGCTTCCCTGCCTCAGTTTCCCCATCCGTCTCACCGGAGGGTTGGCAGAGGGCAATTGCAAGGATGGTTTAAGAGGGGGGCGGAGGAGTGGGGCTGGGCGCCAGGCCCTCTGCAGCGAGGAGCTGGTGGAGCCCGGAGCCATAGCGTGAAAGACAAGGTCACGAAGGCTTGGAAGAGACAAGAGGAGCTGGGGTGCGGGGAACGCCCGGTTCACCTTTAACCGTGGGACTGTTTCTCTTCTCTGATGGTCCAGGTGGCGGAGAACGTTATCCGCAGGAGCGCGGTGAAGGGTGAGTCCCTCCTGGCCCAGCAGCGGGGGTAGCGGCCGGGGTGCCGCTTGCCGGCATTGCAAAGCTGCGACAACCTGTTTGCCGGGGCCGGGTTGCAGCCGGACAGACGGAGCCACGGTCCGCGTGCACGCGGCTTGGCGTGCGGCTGGGGATGCCAGCAGGCTGGGGGGGCTCAGTTGCTCCCGGGGCAAACTCCACCGGGCACGGTGCTGCGAGCTGGGGCAGGAGAGGGGAGAGCAAGGACTGTCCCACTGGGCAGGTGAAGGGCATACGTCCCCGGGGAACGGGTTGGAGGGACAGCCATGTATGTCTGTCTGGAGTCCGGGGAACCAGGGCCACAGGGGACAGCGCAAAAATGTTAGATAATGATTGACTAGACATTTCCATCCCCAAATAACCTCCCTCTTCGACGGGTCAGTGGGACATTTCCCTGACCCGCTTGCTCTGCTTGCTCAGTAAGGACCTGCTCTGCTGGCACGGGGCTGGGCATCCCCACGCTCTCTGTCCTCTACAGCCGTGTGTCCCTCTTCTCGCAGAGGCCCGGCGGAGCTACTTCAACAGCTCGGAGGGGCAGGTTCCTCCCAAAACAGCCGGCAAGCCCTCGGCACATCTCACCCTCCGCCCACAGAGCCTGGCCCAGGATGGTGAGTCCGGGAGCCCCGCTGGGCACCGGGGGGTTTCTGAGATGGGAACGGGGGAAAGATCTCACCCAAATGGCAGGGGACCAGGATGGGAGGATGCATGTGGTGGCAGATGGGGAGATGATTCTCCTGTCCAGTCCAAGACCACCTCCTTCACCCCTTCAAGCTGGATGACTGTGGGAGAGAGTTGGAGCCACCCCCTCCCTTTCTCCTGACCCTGACGGGCGCTCCCCAGAGCATCTCGCTCCCCTCGGTAACCCTTCCTTCTCCCCAGGAAACTCCAAGCGCTTCGGGAACCTCTCCCAGTCCTGCCGCCACGCCATCGCCCGCTGGGAAGACAGCACCATCCACTCGCACCTGCAGAACATCACCTACCGGGATGGCCGGCTGCGGGTCAACCAGGGGGGCAAGTACTACGTCTACTCCCAAATCTACTTCCGCTACCCCAGCGACGGGGCCAGCACCCGAGTCTCCGTCCCCCAGCTCGTGCAGTGCATCAACTGGAAGACCTCCTACAGCCAGCCCATCCTCCTGCTCAAAGGGGTCGGCACCAAGTGCTGGGCGCCCGAGGCGGACTACGGGCTCCATGCTCTCTACCAGGGGGGACTGTTTGAGCTGAAGGCCGGCGATGAGCTCTTTGTCTCCGTCTCCTCCTTGGCCATCGACTACAACGATGCAGCAGCCAGCTACTTCGGGGCCTTCCGGCTCGACCTGTGACAGCCGCCTCCGCCTCCCACCTTCCCGCTGCTCCGGCCCCTCGGCTCTCCCGCATGGCCCCGGGGCAGCAGCTATTTGAACAGGACAACAGCCAAATGGCCTGGAGCAGGGGGGGGGCCTGCTGCAGGGTCCTTCCCTGCGTGCCTTGTGGCGAGGGACAAGCTGGAGGAGGGCACAGGGGGTGGCTGCCCGCAGGGACCCCCCCGTGCTCGGTGCCACACGGGGCCCCGCCGTCCAGCCAGGAGGAAGCCCACAAGCCAGGAAGGGTCTCTGAGGACCCACGGGAGACATGCACGAGGGGGGGACGTCCCAGCCCTGGTGGCACATCACCTCCCTGCCTCCTGTCTGAGCAAATGGAGCAGGTAGCACCAAACGGCTCCCTGCTGCAGGAGAGGCACCGGGGTCACATCTGCAACCGCAAGACAAAGCGTCCCCATGGCAGGATGACCCTCTGCAAGTCTGACCCCACGTCTGGCAGGGGCAGACCCGGCCAGGCTGTGGGTGCTCGGGGACCCCGAGCTGGAGGCGCTGGGACAGAAGCCGGGGTTAGCAGAGAGCAGCGGCACGGCGAGCACAGGCGCAGGGCTGGCACCCCCGGGGACAGCCTGCAAGTATGAGGCGGGTCCAGCATCAGCTTCTGGAAAGGAGTGAAGGAGTTTCAGTTCAGGCTAATTAGAAACTGGAGCGATTACAGCAATCAGTTTCAGGGCGGGTCAAAGAGCAGGACCATGAAGCTGGAGTAATCACCAGCCCAAGCAACCGCACCCGGGCACGTGGCAGGGAGGTGCATTTTGCCCAAGCCGAGCTGCACAGGACCATCCGGCCCAGGAGCTTGCCATCACACCTCCCCTTCGCTTCTGACCAAGCATCTCCTTCCTTGGGGTTTTTGGTTCTCCTAGCCCTGTTGGGCCAGCGCAGCCACCCGCTTGCTCACATCTTTGGCCCCAGCAATCGTTAACCTGCAGGATTTCAACTCATGGGTGAGCCCTGGCAGCAGCAGCACAGGACCCAGGAGGGACAAGACCAACCCCTTGGTGTTAAAGGCCATGTCAGATGCAAAAGGTGGGTTCAAGCAGGGCAGAGCGTGGTCAGGCTGGCTCGGCCCACAGACGCTGGGGTGGATGCAGCCCCCTTTTGTAATTACCTGTATACCCTCTGTATCATATTAAGACTGTTGGTGTGTATGGACAGGATGGCAGCACAGGCTCCCACGAAGGATGCAAGCACACACCACACCCCCCGCCGGCACGGCTGCCAGGGGGGCTCTCAGTGCTGGTTTAAATAAAGCCTGTACTCCAGCACTGGTCTTGCACCTCTTTGCATCAGGCACCGCAGGCAGCGTGCCCTGGGCCTCTGAGCAGCTGCAGTGCTGTGCAAACCAGACATTTTGAGGTCTGGGCCGGTTCCCACACTCAGCTGACACACTGCAGCACCCCTGGGTCCTGGGCAGCCTCACTCGCTGCAGCTCAGCCTTATCTGCCCCCCTCTTTCCCTGTCCCTGCCCCAGCCCAGCACAGAGGCTGGCTGCAACGGGGCAGAGCAGAGGGGCAGCTTCTCCCCGGCTGCCTTCAGCCTCCCTCCAGCTTCCCCCTGTGCTTCCACGCTTGCCTGAGCAGAGTTCCTGCCGTGCCAGCCCGGTGATGCCGGGATGCCGCCGGCGGCAGCGGAGCAGCCCGAGTGCAGTGCCAGAGCTGCCGGGTGCCAGGCGGCCTGGGGGAACGGGCTCACGTGGTTCCCAGGAGCTCTGGCCCTGAGAGCTGCAGACAGAGCCCAGCAAAGGCTGCAGGCAATAACCGGGTCCTGCCTCATCTTGCATCTGTAGTACCTCGAAGGGCTCTGCCACCACCTCTCCCCCACGGACACCTGGGGCATTCCCAGGCAGATGTGCTCCCACTTCTGAGTCCAGTGCCGTCATCTCCCCTGGGACCAGGGGCAGCTCCACCACCAGCTCCGGCAGAGCCCCTCCCGGGACCTGAGCCCAGCCCTGCTCCTCTTCCTCCCCTGCTCCCATCAGCTCTCGGGGGCTACATGTTGCCCAGCTGCCTGGGGGGATCCCGGTGCTGGTCCTCCTCTCTCCACTTTGGGGTTGTCAAGCCCAGCCCAAGGCACAGCCAAACCCCGGGGTGCCAAGATGGGCTTGTTCCCCATCACGCCGTGGCCAGGCAGAGGCTGCTCCTTGCTCCCGCTATCCATCCCACAGCTTTCCAGGCCTGAGCCCCCTCTCTTTGCGTCCTTGGCTGGGGCTGGGAGCTGGTGCCAGGCTGAGCCAGGTGGCTCCCACATCCCCCCACCCACAGACTTTGGCCATTGCCACTCACCAGCCTCCAGCTCCTGCAGGCTCCTGCTCCAGCGAGGCCGATACAAAAAGCCCCCCCAGGGGTACGGGGTGGCCCCGTCACCCTGCACACAAGCGCCTGGACCAGCCCCAAATGCACGGGCAGCTTTCCCAGCTCATCCAAAGCCTCCCAGCCAGAGAACGCCGAGAGCACTGTCCTGCCGTCTGCAAAAGGGG